AGGTGAAATCGATTATGTGCCTGAACTGGTAATTTATTATTGCTCCTTTTGATGATATCTGGCATCAACATCGTAGTTTTCATTTGTATCTTAGCTTGTTCATGTAAGATAGAGTTTAAACCTTCTTCCTGTTCGTGGGACAGTTAACATTTTCTTGATGTTGTATATGTCTTAAATCAGTTGTTTTTTTGTTGTGTGGAAAAACTGAAGATATTAGTTTAACCAATGATGTTGTTCAAGGAATTTGTATTCCATGTGTGTACTGTTGAATTTTTTAAGATAATTTTTGCTTATAAATAGTTCAAAGAGATTCCATTTTGTACGAATGCGAGTTTGACATGTGTTAATGGAAATAAAGGTGGTTCTGGAACCATTGTGCTGTATCCATGTGAGCACTGTTGAATTTCTTAAGATAACCTGTGCTTATAAATAGTTCTAAGAGATTCTATTTTGTACCAATGGGAATTTGGCAGGTGTTATTGGAAAGGAGGTTCTGGAACCTTTGTGCATATTCATAACCTTATTTTACTTTCTTTCTGTGGACGTGAGATTTGATGTATCTTATTTATTTACTATCTCCACATCTGCTTGTGACATGTATCATACTTGAATATACACTTGCCTGAACGTTTCCTGATTTTCTTCACGAGTAATGTCAGAACTGAATTTTATATGAACTGCCTTTTCCGGTATATCACTCTTAATGGATTATATATAAGATGAGTACATAAGGTTTTGAAAGTAAAAATATTGTGGAACACTTTTTGTTGCTAGCTTTGCAATTTTGATTATATTGTACACAACCTACTTACACTGTAATTGTCAAATTAAAGATAAATAACAACGAAGAATGCATTTCAAAATGCCTTAAGCTGATTACAAGTATTCACAAAATCATTTTTCCAGAATTCATCTTTTGCAGGTGTGACTTGCAAGTCTTGGACTTATTCTTGCATTTATAAATAAGCCAAATCTATTATTTTACTTTGAACACTTTCTTCGAAGTGCTTTGTTTTCTTGAATAAATAGGCATGCATTCAGTACACAAAACAAATTGGAATTTATAATGTAAATGTCACATTATTTTTCCTGCAGTTTGAAGAGCAAAGAGATCAAGTGGCAATAGAGCAAATTCTACGGGTTATTTTTGTGGACCTTGAACGGCCTAGTCCTGTAAGACTACATGTCTCTCACACATGACATGACACAACATACCATTTTATTATTTGCAGTTACAATTGAAAGCTGCTGTTTCTGTAAGGTACTGGATAAGCTGAAACGGATGTTGGCTGAGGCTGATGCTGCACTTGAAGTGCGAAAGAAACCACCGGAGGAGAAAGGTCCTCAAGTAGCCGGAGAAGGCCTTGTTATAGATGAATGGGTTAGACACTCTTCTTGCCACATTCTTTTGTTTGAGTACATAATATATACAGGGTGACTCAAGAGTTTGGAAGGCCTAAAACTAACTTAGGAATGAGGCCAAAAGCAAACTCAAGGGTTTTTGAAACCTAAAGCAATTAGTATTAAAAAAAATTTGAGGTGTTTTTTTCTTGGAGACCTAAAGCAATTAGTACTAAAAGAAAATTTTTTTAAGTCTTTTTTTTTTTCAAGATCTAAAGCAAGGGTTTTACCTGCTTGACCTTGAGGAGGTCCTGAACATATATAGTCACTTACAATGACTATTTCAAAAGTCATATCTGCCATGACTTCTGATTTGTTGAGAATGTAAAATTGTTTATACTAATAATGCATAAATGTTAACTCTTTACTTAGATAGCATATTCTCATTCCATTTTCTCATATTCTGCATCTTTTCTCCTTATGTAGAAAGAAAGAAGAGAAAGATACTTGGCCCAACAGCAGGTCCAAGGTGTTGATTCAGTGTAAAGTGTTTCTCTCCTCCTTTTCTTGGGTCAAGCAGCCCTTAATGTTCTTTGATTGTATACTCTGAAATTGAATTCCAGACTCTCTGATCTGATATGTCATACGTGGTTGAAGCGCCTAGAAAATTGCTATAAAGCAATAATGAAATCCTTTCTTTTTCTTTGTCAACAATGTCTATGTTGTCATGTGCGAGTGAATACTTAATTTTACTTTTACATCATCTATAATTTTAGCTTGTTTGTTTGAGAAGTAAATGCATTATTCTTGTCTTCAACATATTTTTTTTTTCCTTTGAACGATGGATCAAAGCAACTGATTATATTAAAATAGTATCGGTCTTGATAAGCCATTAGTTGTTTATAGTTATTTATCAGGTGAGAGAAAACAAAGTTGGTAGCATTCATGGCGGCTATAACTTAGATTATAGTAAGGCTTCTTTAAGTATTATTTTCATCAGTTGGAGATCAAATGAAATCAGAGATCTTATACTTCTTTTTTGTTAAAAAATGAGGTTAGTGATTTGAAGCAGTCAGGAAAATTAATCAATTGATGATTTGTTAATAGTCACGATCTATGGATATCTTTTTTAATGGCTTGTCACTATATTAGTTGGGGACAGTGGAATACGCATTTGAAATGATCTCCTATTTCGTCTTTGATTTGGTTACACTTTTTTGGTACATGGTTTGATTATACTAACATTACAACATTCCAGAAATAGAAATGCTTTGCCTTTTACCAGAATGTTTGCTTTTACCTTTGAACCCAAAGGGATCCACTCAAGCAGCTTCTGCATATTGTAGATGTTATACATGATGATATAGTTATTTCATTCACAGCTATTAATTTATTGCTGTTATTATATTTTTAATCAATTCACCACTTGGAGATTAAGTCAAGTCAGAGATTCTAAAAACTTTTTTTTTTTTTTAAATAGAGGTTAGTGTCTTGAATGAGTTAGGAAAGTTGGTGAGAATAGATAATTAGCTATCAGTCACTGTCATTTTATATATGTTTTTAGGGCATGTCTTTGTAATATAGTATACAGATGCTGATTTAACAAACAAAACAAAGTGGGTAAGGTCCACTTTGAAAATTAAATGAGCATATCTCCTTTTTGTAAAGTGCAATATATAAGTACCAATTATTAGAGCTTATCATGATGTTAATCCTGGGGTTGCCATCACTCATGATAAAGCAGCTGCTATGCCATTTGGAGCAGAGAGTATTATGTATGCTATAAAAGATTAAAAATTATTGATGTGTTATTAAACAATTTAGTGACAGTTATTAATTTTAATTGCTTTGGCCCGTCGCATATATTCCAATGCAGAACCAAAATTATTGATTGAGTTTAGACCTTAAATTATAACATTGTGGACAAAAGATATTACTGAGATGAAAAGTTCTTGTTGATAAAAGTTAATTGTCAAGTCAAGTTGATACTCTTTAACTAAGATGATAAAGAAAAAAAAAAGTTCCAGTAAATAATGGTTCTAATGAATAATCTGATAATAATTTCGTTGAAATTTTGATGGTAAAGATAACATTATGATAGTATAAACTGTGAGCAAGCAAATGCTGCAGGTTTTGGGTTAAGGGAATAAAGGACACGGAATTGATTCCTTCTCAAATCATAATTGGTGAATGACGAAATTCATTGTACAAGAAATAGGCCAAGTTCATCCTCTACAAAACAAAACAACGTGCTTTCCAACAATTCTAGTGGCTTCATACACTGATTTTTTACCAAAAAACGTGTAAAAGTAACGTCTTCTCTGCATATATGATTGCATAAGCTGTTACTGATTAGAGTGACCACCAACTTGTCTCTTTTTAACGTGTTCATCCGAGTACAAACGAAACTAGCTACTTTTACAAGACCATGTTGTATGGTAAAAAACTTCAGTGAAACATCTTTCACTATCTCAATTGAGGAGAAGTAATTCCAAGCATTCAAGTCCACATAATGAATGTTAAGACTCTACTTTTGCTAATTCAAATATTTAGAGAAATAATTTTATTATTTTGTATATGAGACACAATTTTATCACTCAAAGTAAAAATAAATAAAATTCTTCTTTCGAATATTTAACCATATATGGTTATACTACTTATACATATACGACTCACATCAAACGAAATCATATATATCAGCCATGTTAAAGAGAAAATTGTAGAGACCAATGAAAGAAATACAAAATAACAATAGTAACTCCAACCATCATCGAAGGTGGTGTAAAGTGTAAAGTGTAAAAGTGTAAAGAGTAAAAGCTGTTTTTTTATCTTAAAGAACGAATAGAAAAATGACAAGTGCAATGCGGTGGCGGTGAGAGAGAAAGAGAGAGAATGGAGCCATGCGGAGGCACGTGATCGCTGCCCTCGGCCCATAACTAATGGATCATCGTACTGCAGGCCCATCCTCCACGATGCCACAAACACCAACGTGTCATTGCCACAGTTCCACACATAACACGTATACCATCAAACGAATAAGAAAAGTGCGAAAAAGAATGGGCCACCTGTGAAAGGACAAAACTACCCCTTCACAAAACGACAATCTTTCTAGACCAGAGTTTAGGAAACAGACGAACTGAGGGTGGGACCCATATATGGTGAAGAATTGAAGAGAGAGAAAATAAAGATAAAATAAGACAGGGACATTAATGTGGGAGAAGGAAAAGGTGAGTCATAGGTGACAATTATGTCTCTTTCGGATAAGTCCACCACCTGTTTCCTCGAACCACCACTCTTATCCCTCACCAACAATACTAATACTGTCTCTCACCATTATATTAACTTAAACACATCACTTAAACTTAATTAAATGCTAATATTACTGATGTTATTAGAATACCAAACAAAATTAATAATTTTAATTGGAATGGTGTATAGTATCTCACGCAATCTAAATACGTGTATAAAGTACTGCTGTATTAAAGAAGACTTAAAAGTGATACACCAAATCTCTAATACGTATTAATCTATATGTTTAGGTGGAGAATGGGGCCCATCTGTATCCTAGTGCTTCACGTTTCTTCTATAAATTCCCTCTTCCTCTTCCGATTCATTTCACTACTAACGTTTCGCTCACCTCTGTTGTGTTGTATTGTGAATTAATAACAGAAGGAAAAGAAAAACCAAGAGAAATATGAGTTACTTGAACCGTGTTTGGATGGCGGCCACCGTGGCTGTGGCGCAGGGTCACACCGATCCTGGCTACAAGTGCAAGACGGCGCTCAATTCCATCCACCACAACCGCAGCCGCCTATTCTCAGGCGGAGCCCTGTCGGATCTTCGCCCCTTGTCCGGCGTCGTGGGGTCCGATGGCGCCGGCGCTGTGGCGGGGAGCTCTGACGTGCAGAAAAGGGTGACTCAAGCGGACGAGTCTCTGAGGAAAGTGATGTACTTGAGTTGCTGGGGTCAGGGTTAAACCACGCATGGCGTTGACAACGGCGAAGATTAGAGCGGTGGCTGGAAATGGTTGCCCGAGCCTTGTTTTCGGGTCGGGGTTGGTTCTGAGTTGACCTGACCGAGTCAGAGGGGACGACTCGGTTGGAGAGAAGAACTTGGAATGATGTGATCTTGTAAATGATTTAGCTATGTATGTATGTACAGAAGATAACGGGTTTTCCCTCTCAAAGAGTGGATGGTGATGATGAGATCCGAACTTATTAATAAGAATACCTAAAATTATTCAAGCTGTACTTCCCTTTTAACATCATCAACATTGAGTTTAATTTAACAAAATATCTTTAATTATGGTCTAACGCTTAAACTGTGTCACAACCTGAAGAGTTGAGGATGTTAAGGATTGAATTTTTCGAGTGTTCTATTTTGTGTTCTGGAAGTATGTTTGTATCTCACAGGACACTAGGTAAGTTGAAGAAAATTTAGTTTTGCAAAATCTGAGCACGAATCTGCTCCTAGAATCTCAAGTTCTTTCGATCCCTGCCAGAAACAAGTTACCAAGTACAGAAAGTTAAGACATGATTCATGAATGCAAATTGTAGACAATAACTTAGGATTTGGCGAAGATGTTCTAATTCTTGCATCAATTGAAACAAGGTAAACAAGTCAATGATGATTGATCTCTTGGTATTTGGATGCTAAGTTGCTCTCAGGTCTGATTGAATTGTCTTATTAGCTCAATTTTGGTAAAGAAAAAGTGAGTACACATAAAAGGGTGCTTTTGATCTTGTTCTTTAATTAAAATTGAAGTTATATATTAATAATTTGTGTAATAAAAGCATACGTGCGAGTTAAGTCGAACTGTTACTTTAATTGAATAATAGTACCAAAAGTATATAAAGAGTAATTTTAGCTTGTATCATGTAACGATGCAAAAAAGAAGAAAAACTCTATTTAAGAAATTGAATGAACTTTCGAGAATGCCTTCTGGTCACAAAAGTGGATGCAACCGTGAGTTACAATAAGGTACAGGGTTTACACTTTACAGAGGGGAGTGGGGTAAACTACTTTTGTCAATGAGAAAATAAGTGAGTCAACAGCATAAGACAAAGGAAACGGAATGTAAACTAAAAAAGAATAAGTATTCAAACATTCCCAACCAAACACTGCAATGAACTGGGACAATAAAAAAAGTACTCTAGTGAATAGCAATGTTATTCACGGAGAGCAAGCATATTACATTACAACTCATCCAGATATAGGTAACGACGTATTTCTCTGGTTCTGGTTTCCAGCGATTGGTTTTATCTCCCATGATCGTAGCACATGTTGCTCTTCCTCGGGATGGATAAAAGGCAAAGAAATCTCACGGATCATCAGATCACCACAAAATGGGCATTCACTAGCTATAGCATCATCCAGTTGTGACCGGAGCTGCACATAATTTGACACCATTACAAAAAGTTATTCAGTGTTGTTCAACTCCATCAAAGTACAAGCATTTAGCACCCTAATGTAAAGTTCACCAAGATGCTAACACAAGTTTTTTTTAATGCTTAAAGAGTAATTCCAGCAGCAGCAAAAGTATACGTCACAGACCTCTATGAATTCACACTCAATTCAAATGAAGATGGATATTTAAAGACCAAAGTTGATAAAAACCACAGGTCATAAGAATAGTAATGGTAGAACAAGAAAAGAAATTTGAAACTTAAATTTCACTGCAAGAAAAATGTAATGTTGAGCAATAAATTTCTGCCGTCAAATACAAATACATGCCATACGGTTCATGAAAGAAAGCTCTCGACAAACCTTGTCTACAGTGCTCATGCTAGGAATGGACTCCTCTGGAGAAAGGGTGCCATTGGATTCTCTTTTTGTTTCACTGCCCATCAAAGTCAGTTGTTTCTGCAGATCCAGTATATACTCAGCCTGCAACATTTTCCCAATAGATTCAATCTGAATGGCGGTATTGGCAATAAGTATATACCGGTTTGAGGTGGGGGCAACATTTTTATTCCATGAAAAACAAGGTTATGACAATAAAAACAAAACTTGAGAATAAAATTTTTTTAGGATATAAAACTACCGATATTGTCAATTTATGACCACTGTATTAACCCATGTTCAAGGTCCAAACCAAATAGCATTGTTGTGCTCCATTACAGTGTATTTGCGTCATTTTAATTAACTTGTGAAACAATAACTGAGTTTTGGATATCCCCTCTCAAAACTATCCCATTTTTTTAATGTTAAATAGCTAAAGATCAGATCACTGTGTCCTTTCAGCTTTATTACATCGCTTTTCACACCCACACTAGTGTTGGACTAATCTAAAACAACAAATTTTCAGGTACCATAATGTGAAGTAGTCGCCGTGAGATGACAGTTACGAGATAAAGGCATTGTATTTACCTGGGAATCAACTGTACAACGAGTCACATGGGCAATCAGGCACTGTGCGTGGAAGGCATGTCCACACGGGAAGATGTAAAAGGGAGCCATTTGTCCTACTAATGTAAAACCTCGACCCATGCCTACGTCCCTCCCCACAGCTAGAATTTTCCGTCGGCAGACCTATAGGGAGTAGAATAAAATGATTTCAGTTTAGGGCATTGGTTCAGCAAACTAAATCAGAAAAACAAAAGCAGATTGATCTTAATGTATCAGGAAGAGCAATACCCCGCATTCCTCGTCTCGATCAATAATAGTGCATCTTTGAGCAAGTGCACTGATATCATTTCTGATGTTGTCAGCACCGCGGGTTGCATCATTCATCTCTTCTTTAAGCTGTTCAATTTGCTTATTGTAGTCCTCCAATGAGGAGCATATAGCCTCCTGCATAAATTTAGATAAGCTCACCAACCGCAGTTCAAGAAAACCAATTACAATTATCTAAGACATATAGTTCACATATCACATTCTTTAGTTAATTTTGACATATTATATGAAAATGTCAACAGAGAACAAAAATAAAATAAAACATAGCTAGTAAGTATCACTAGATAAATTGATCAGGTTTGAAAATTGTCAATCAAGATGACAAAATCAGAACAAAAATAACTGTACCTTGAAGTCATCAATCAGCGCAAAATCTGGAAAGAATGGTAATATGTCCTCAATCTTTAGCAGGCCATCAGTTTCTTTAAGAAATGCAATTGCCTTCCTAATGTTTTCCCTCTTAGTTCCCTTTTCTTGTTCAACAACATGCTTAGCTATCATAAGCCAGAGTTTCTTTCTCAAATCTTCATCATCTTCAACCTTGTCAGCTTCAGCCATAGCAAGCTCTGAATCAACCTGGTATAGGAAAGTTAGTTAGCACAAAATTATGACAATTAAAAAATGAAAAAGTAAAATATCTTCAAAATATACGAAGGCTTATTTTTTATTTCTTTGTTGGGATGTAAAAATATTGAAAATTTAAAAAACATCTAACTGGATATGTTGAACTACTTTTCAAAACCTGAGAGAACTATATATTCTACAAGACCAATAACTTATCCCAGCCAAATGGAGAAGGGCCATAAAGGCAGAAAAATCCCCCAATAGAAGGCACTTTTGGTCCTCATAAGTGAATTATATTCCCTATATCAAGATTTCTAGTGCATAAAGAATAAAACATCTGTTAGAATTGGTTGCTCTTGCAGAATCCCTAAAAGATATAACTACGAGTGAAAAATATCACCAATGACAAATTCTAACAACAAACTTTTAAACACATTCTCTACTACTGACTTAAATTTATCTAAAAACACATTTTTTTTGTGGGTTCCACTTCCCATTTACCGCTTATTGTCATGATTTTATAATTTTTAATAAATTATAACCAATAGTAGAGAGTATATTAGAAGGAGTGCGCTAAAACTCATTGTCATCATATTAATCTCACCTGTAGGGCAAGGGCAACCGCTTCTTCGTGCATAGACATCATGCTGTATATATGAACACATGCTCGCATTCGTTTTTCCTTTAGGCAAAGACGCAAGGCATACTTAGGATCATAGAAGAACTCAGGACCATTTTCCGGTCCTTTACCAAATTTTCATTGTAGGAAACGTAGAAGTGAACTATCATCTTCCTGAGTAGACAAAAAGAAAAAGAAACAAATACATAAATAGGCACAATTGTCAATGCTAGACAGACCGAGAAGACGTAAAATCTTTTCAAGATAAACAACTATTTCCATGTATCAGCTGCAAGAAATGAGACTAGTTTAAGACTCGGTCAAACCTCAGTTGATTAATTAAAGTTATGTTTTACAAAGAAAAATGTACATATTAGAATTTCCATTAATATTTCCATGAAGGATCTTGTTCAACTTATATTTACAATTGCAATCCCAATCATGTCCTGTGAGTGTTAATGAACATACAATAAAGAATATGATTATCATCTTATCTTAATGGAAAAAACAGGAAATTTGATTCGATCTTAGGAGATTTTAATAGTTTTAAATTGCAGTACGAATAAAGTAAGTTTAAATAGCACTATGAACTTTCATTTCAGTTTTAATGAATGGCATTGGCACGGCCATACAGTAAAGAGTAGTTTTTGTTTGCGTACATGAGAAGTGAAAAGACAGGTAGATTAACGTCATATAGTTTAGAGGTGTAAGGTGCACAGCATAAACTATGCAGAGATTACCAACTCCTTATGAAAATTGCACAGGCATGGATAACTGTAGCATCCATTTGTTCATTTGCAGGAATACATATATTCATTTATTTATATATAGATATAGATGATATCAAAATACAATAGGAACATGAAACACCCTTCATAATCACAACATCAGAAGTACACGGATCATGCATGTAGAAGCAAGACACCAACCTGTTTTGCATACAAAGAAAGTAGCAGGTTATGAACTCCAGGGTCTTCATTATGTAATCGATGAACGCAATATTCAAGATATTTAATGACTTCATGTGTCTCATTCCTTCATGCAAAAATAGTTTACATAAATGAACTTAAAATTCCAAAACAGTATCAATAAATTTAAGAAAACTGTCAGAAAAAAAAAAACAGAGAGAACACAGAATAAATAAATTGATGAACACAATTGTGACTGAAACATTTAACTGAATAAAAATGCAAACACAAATATGCAGTACTTTGCATGTGGTTCGCTTGAATAGCGCATCATTGCAGGAATCAGTTTCCTTGGGTTCAGATTCTTTGTAGCCATCCATGACTCCACAGTTTCATATGCATCAAGGGCAATAAGGTCCGGGGCAAACTTATACTGCATACGACAGCCAGTATTGTCCATAATTTGTTACATTTCTCAAAAGAAATTGAGAGGCTACAGTTCCAATTTAATATAATGGCTGAAATAGCTCGAGACGAATGGGACAAAATAGAGACAAATAGATTTTCACACCCCAAATCCTAAAAGGTGAATCATACCTGCAGATCTATAGGCACATCAGGTTTCTGAAGCAATTCCAATGCTTTCTTTGATTCACCTTGCTGGAAAAAAGAAACAAAAACAGAAAGTAAGAACAGAGAAAAGGAAATATAATCAATGTGAGATTGTATACTTCTATAAAGCAATAGAGATCTGGATTATGGAAATGGAGATCGTTAGTTATGACATGAGACAAATTGCAAACAGTGCACCTGAATGTAATGGTGAACTACAATCTCATAGTGCCCTTCTAAGCTCGCAAAATATACCAATTCTTCAACTCTTCCATAACTGTAGAAAATTGCAAAACCAAAATTATATAAGATTAATGGTCATATAATATATAACTAACTTTGGTCAAAGTTGTAAATGACAAGGAAATAAGCCACTAAATAAATTGAAAACTTATTCAGATTGATATGATAAACAATAAAAGATTATGTTATTGTGACAGGGAGTTGGGTATCATGAGGTGTTTAAGCTCCACATCAACTAGTAATAGGATGCTCAGCGGAGTACCTAAGTGATTTGCTATTCCCCCTGAAAAGCTAAAATTTAAGGGAGAGTTCCTCAAGTGTTTAGATTAATTGGTTACAAAGTTTTCATGTGCAGTCCCGCTAGAACATCAACTCTTAGGAGCGCAGCTACAGTGGGGACTTGGACATTATGGGGTACCTAAGTCTCATATTGAGTAGTATGGGGGTATTATGTGATGAATTTACAATTGTGAAAGTTGCAATACCAGATCCAAGGCAGAACGCAGAAGGATGGAGTCATCCATCATCATCAATGAATCAAAATAGCTAATGATGCATTATTAATACCCTTTATTTTCAAACTAAGGTATGCAAAGGCATCATATGTAACTAGCAATCTGAATTAAGCTGGTAACCCAAGTTATATCAATCATCTACAACATACCAAAATAGCATTAAAAGTAAAATAAAAGATACAAAATAGTGGGGGGACTCTACCAGAACTCACTCAAGGAACGACCCTATAAAGAGGTAGATTAAAGAGTACAGAATTCATATCTAATAAAATCCGAAATAGTATCCCACCATATACTACACTGTGTTCTAATCCCAAAAGGTTTGCATCTATTACTACTCAATCTAGTTATACATTAAAAAAACACCTTGTTATCTTGAATCTCTCGTTGAGACAAAGGGTGTCCACATTTTACAAATTTAATAGTTTCTCTTGAATAATTTATTATGATAACTAAATTTTAAAAAACTCTAAAAACTATAAAATTAATTAAATCCAAACAAACATGGAACTGGATGCTCCCACTCTGCCCTTAAAGAACATACTTTTTCTTTCCTGCATCTTTTTATTGAACTAAACCCTAAATGAAATAACCTGTGGTTGAGAGAATTTTAAAAATATAAACTCACATAACTTTATATATAAAATTGAAGAAAACAGGTAAGTAGCAAGAATTAATGTCCAGCCAAAAACATGTGGCAGGCATATCAAGTATCAAATAATACCTTTCTAAAAGTTTCATTGTAGTTGTTTCATCCAATACATCCTTGCTGTCACTGAGAAAAGCACGAAACTCTTTAATGATTGATTGGTACTCTAAATTGCTATTCTCTGATGCAGAGTCATCTTCCAAGAGCAGTCGGTTTATCTAAAATATCAAAAGAGATGAAAACCAAATTAACTTGCAAGCAAAAAATACCTATTAACTCACAAGATAAATATTAAAGAATACAACTGAAGGAGTAACTTAATTGCCTAAGGCCATTCTAGAGTATCAGAAATTTCTTCACAGCTCTAGCCATTTTCTCAACAAAAAAAAAACTATATCATGAATCTCTAAGCGTTAATGTTTTACTAATGTTAGGTATCTTAGTAAGAGACCTAACTTTTCTCGCAACATCCACTCACGCCAGAGCAAATAAACAAGAGAAACAAAAGAAATGTATATAATCTCTGTAATTGTATGTATGTATTCACTGTATCTGTAAAACGAAAACAATAATAACTCGGGAGCCTAATCCCCCTCAACAAGGTCCAAGACCTGTTTAGAGAACATAAGAAATGACTAGCTACTTAACAGAATCACAGAAGGTTTATTTATACTTTCCCGCTCCCCCTAGCAACCTAACAAATTTTTCCGCCCTTTTTATTCATCCTTTACCGTTCGATATTAGTGTATATACAGTTCGGTTCCTTCACTCCTTCCTCCCACCTTTCACTCCTTCCTCCCACCATTCTGTATTAGTGTAGATACCGTTCGGGCTATACTTCCCTACTCCCTTCTGGTTACCGCTCGACATTTACTTCCCTCCTCCTTCCAGCTACCGTTCGGTACTTCCCCCTTTCCTTTGGCTACCGCTCGGCCTCTGCTTCCAACCTTCCTTCCAGCTACCGTTCGGTCATTCCCTCCTTCCTTCCGGCTACCGTTCGGTATTCCTCCTTTATTCCTCCGCTCATATATTTTTAACTTCCTAACATTACTCCACCCCTCAAAATCAACCTTGTCCTCAAGGTTGAAGTCACGGTACTGTTATTTGATGTAATGCTCCTTTTCCCAAGTGGCGCCCTCCAATTCAGGTCTGGAGGCTTGGGTGGTGGCAAATCCTCCTCTAATGTCTTCCACTCTTCCTGGATTCTATTAACTTCCAACATTCTGCACCTCAAACCCTCCACCGATGTCTTCCATTCCTCCTGCTCAATCTTCATGCTCAGCTACCACCAATCTACTTTCATTTTTCCCAGGGATGCCAAACAGGTAACTCCTAATATCACATCCACCCCTCCCAACTCCAAGAGATAAAGTTTATCTCTGATTCCTAATCCCTCCACCTCAGCAATATAATCATTTCCAGTGCTCAATGTGTCAATTATGCGAACAGACTCTCGTAGTCCATTCATCATCACCCCCAACCGTATCTGGGTGCTCTTGGCAGGTTACTTCATCAGCAAAAAACAAACAGTTATCAATTGACCTCCCTACTATATCATAGTCATCTCCTGAGTTTCCAACCGCAACATAAGAATAATCACCATAACTAAAAGGATTCCTACTCCAATCAATCACAACATAGCCAACACCAAACGCTTGCCTAGCAAGATGACATACCCTTTTAGGTGAATTCATTATCTCATAATAAAACACAGAGAAATTTAGAGCCAGACCCAAACGAATAGAATGTGTAGGTTGAAATTCACTCTCAATAGTGGTAACAACGGTCTAATATGCTTTAAATGACTGATCTGCTACCTCTATTTTTTATTACCAGCTTGGAATTCTGCCAAGTACCTGTAATAGTCTCCTTTCATCTTATAATAAAACATCGTGGACTCCGCAATATTAGTGGATGGGATAAGATGCTCATCTAAAATTATCCTAATAGCACTGCAAGTATTAGACAGCTCCAACTCGACCATGTGCCTATAATACCTTATGCGCTTAACATTCAACTCATTCCCTTTTGACTCCTCTTTCTGCTCTATCGATGACAAGATCCTCCATGAAACTCTCTAGGACCCCACCACATTTTTGTATCCAACAGAGAACAAGTTCCTCTCTTCCACACTCCGCTCAACGTCCAGCTTCGCCACCTTCTTCATAGCATCCACCCTTTTTGCACACCTATTTTGTTTTGTTTCTTCACTGCTTCAATTTGGTTCGACCCTCACCACTGCACCTCCTCCGCCTACACTCCGCCCCCACACTGATGGGTTTATATTTTCGCTCCAGCCCCCATCCTTATTTCCCTTGCGAGCTTCCTCCACGTCCCTGGCGATTCGCATGGTGGCCATCAGTGCTTGGGGATCTTGTATTCGAACTTGATTTCGTATATTCTCCTGCAAGCTTGCGAGGAAATACCCCAGTAGTTGTTCCTCCGGCAACCCCTTCGTCTGCCCCGCCAAACCCTCGAATTCTTGGACGAACTCATCCATTGTCCCTATTTGTTTAGTCCCTCCTAATCGCTCAAAGACCGACCCTCTGTTTCGATTCCCAAACCTCATTACCAGCGCATCCTTCAGCCCTTCCCAGGATTGGTTTTTGGCCTTCATTCTCCACGCCTGTATCCAGTATCCTGCACTCCCTTCCATACTAATGTATGCTAATCGCACTTTCTCCTCGTCCGAGATGCCTTGCCCTTCGAAATTTTTTCCGCGCGATTGATCCAATTTAGCGGATCAAAACCCTCGAAAAAGGGGCAATTCTACCTGTTTTTGCCACCCGCCGTGACTTTCGCCGCGCTCTCCAACTTTTCCTCCGATCACGTCTTCCCACCTCGTCCTTCGATTGGCGTTTACAGACGTTTGACTACCGTCAGACATCCCCTCCTGGTCACGCGCCCCTCCTCCCAAAATCCGCAAGACTTCTTGCAAATCTTGCCGTATCACCGTCATATCTTGGCGCAATCCTTTGACCGCTATCTCCATGGCATCCAGCTGGTTCTCCATTGCTCTTTTCTCCCTTTAATTGGATCCGTCAGCCTCTTAATTACTTCTTGATCCTTCACCCTCACTCCGATCCGGCAGGTCGGACCAATTTGTTAGGTATCTTAGTAAGAGACCTAACTTTTCTCGCAACACCCACGCACGCCAGAGCAAATAAACAAGAGAAAACAAAGGAAATGTGTATGATCTCTGTAATTGTATGTATGTATTCACTGTATCTGTAAAACGAAAACAATAACAACTCGGGAGCCTAATCCCCCTCAACAAGGTCCAAGACCTGTTTACAAAACATAAGAAATGACTAGCTACTCAACAGAATCATAGAAGGTTTATTTATACTCTCTCGCTCCCCCTAGCAACCTAACAAACTTTCACGCCCTTTTTATTCATCCTCTACCGTTCGGTATTAGTGTATATAGCGTTCGGTTCCTTCACTCC